TCAAGTGTATATGAAGAATTTTCAGTTTTATCTCAAATACGAGTTGTTGCTCTAAAAGCGGTCTGCGTTGATACCATGTCTGACAAAATGGGGTGAAGTAGTTGAACCCGTCTACCACTTTAGCTACTTCTGGATTCTAATCAGCCCAAAGGTACCAGCCACCGATGAGATGCTTGAATGTGTATAAAAGAATTGCTTGGATTTGACTAACTTACTCCGTTTATGATACCATCATGACCTCTGATTGCCTTCTAAGTAGGACTGAATGTAGCACGAAGCAGTCCGTTCAGTCTTACTATACTGCTGTGAAGCAGCCATTTAAAGTAGATGAAAAAGAAGGCTGTAGGTGTACGACCACTGTTGACTTTGTGACGCAGGCCAAGTGTTGTGAAACCACCAAACTAGTAATGTAGAGGTCAGGTATAGGATTTCAGGCAAAGAGATAAGCCGTTTAATAAGGTTACAAACCTTCATGCCACAACCGTTACAAGTTAAAAATGTTTCTATTCTAGCAGTGATTTTCCTTCTTTATACAGGAATAACTTGCTACTTGGATACTTGTTCGTGAAAACTCATAAAATGGAAATTTGTGACAGACAGATGGCTGCTTACACTTTGGACTACTGACGTATTATATCCATTCTTCCTTTTTATAAGATATTAAAGTAATTTGACACGTACTATAATGAGGGCTTTCACATTTAATTCCAAACCACGCTTATTTTGAGACCATTTGGGGCTACCCTAACCTAATGGACAATAATCAAGAAATAGCAGTTAAACCTTATTTTCTCTAAGAAGCCACTTGCCTTTCCTGGTACACTGGCTGCCTGACAGAATTTAGTATTTTCTCCCTTTTAATGCTATTCATAGGCGTGGTGGTTACGTGGAAGAAATACTTCCACATCTACTGAGTATAAATTCATATTTCGTATTTTATTCTTCGTTCGCTTCTTTCCTTATGATCTAAAATCTGACCTGGTGAATTGATATGGAAAAACAATTCAGAGTGACTAGGATATACCGCCTCAATCGAGGATAACAAGTCAGCTACGTACACTGTCATTTTAAATTGAAAGGATTATTGACTAGCAGAAGAGTCCAGGACATGCGTCTCGTCATATCTGGGGCTTATCAGCTGGATGTGTGTGTACTCCAATGAGTGATTTTGTTCTAACAAAGGCTCAAACCCAGTACTCTTCACTTTAAACCGCACAGCGTTATACACTAAGCCACTGGGGTATGACAGTCTCTTCTTGTGTGGTGGGTATTAGTTGTTATGACTCGTGTAATTTACCTTTTCAATACAGAGTCGAACTGCTCAATCTCTGTTGGCAGATGCGTTTGGACGTGCACATGATAAGAGAAGGGGTGGAAATGTCAGCAGTGATTGCAATATGCGTAAGAAAGTGTTCAAATCCTTTGTGGTATTGTCGTGTAAAGAAGGCACGTTAGGAATTTTATGTAGAACTCTTAACAATGCTACAATTAGGGTAGCATTTAAACCCACTGACCTACTCAGAGAGAAATATTGCAGGCTAAAAGATCCAATAGAGGCAAATAGGGAAAGCAACCCAACCTATCAAATACCATGCAATGATTGTGAGGTCAAGCATATAGATCAGCACAAAAATCTAATGAAACATACGATGAGAGATCTTAGAAAGACTGGTAATTGAGGAAAAAGCTTAGCTGTCGTTCTGCATGCACTAACCCCATAGATTTGGACAGGCTGACAGTTCTACAATCCAATATGGCTAGGTGGAGGGAGATATTGATCACAAAATCTTCTTTCATTGAAACCGCACCTAACAGAGGTAACAGGAGTAAATCGTCACATATTACTGATATCTAGAAAATTTTACTAACATTAAAATAAACGAATGAATAACTGTTGTGTTATATAAAGGAGGCTTGAAAGTTGTTCGATAACTTTGAAGTGAATATGAGCAATAAATTCTGCTGGAACTGTCATCCAGTAAATAATACTGCATTACCGTTCGCTGTATCATCAAATAATCAATGTAACATGTAATCATAATCTACCACAATGCCCAAGATTTTCTCTTACATTATTGATGCAAATCTTTTGTATTACAAACTCCGACATCTTGTCTATTCTTCTCAATTCACAATAATTTATGGAAGCGCTAGTCGGAGCGAATAAATTCGTTGAAGTTGGAAGTCATAATTTTGTTGCGCATCAGGCATTTGCACTTCTGATCGATGTGAGTGGTCTAAGACTACCAATATCGGTCAGCAGTATATTTCGCATAATTTCAATTCAGTTACGAGTAACTTTAAAGTTGCTTACGACACAAATGATATAAAGACATTCTGGCGTTAACATACAAACTTTTCTTAATCACCAACTGAAACAATAGTTCGACATGAAGTTATGAAATTGTCACAACAGGTAACGATAACAATGACCTTATGTACATAGAATAACCAGATACATTGTTCACGAAACAGAAGTTAATTACACAACGGATTGTGATATCTCTATTCATCTTGTTTCTGAATTCAGCCAATAAAATCAATACACTTATTCTTCCAGCACACTATCGGTGTGTGAACGTAAGTACCTGACGAGTCCCCATTCCTTCTTGAAGTAGTTTTCGAAATAACTGCTCTTACAGTTTTCAAAGTATTTCTGATTCATGATAGCACTTTATTAGAGGAAATTTTTGAATTTACAGTCATATACCTGTGGTCAGATTTGACTTATCAGTCTGTATTTTCAACCTCTTGCTTATTCACCATGAATTCGAAGATCGCTTCGTATATATAAAAACCATAGAAAAACTGAGAGAGATGACTAAGCAGCAAACAAAAGGTGAGACTCAGTCAAGTGCACAGGAGTTTATTTAGTTTTTAGGTCAAAACCCATCAAAATCAAGTGAATGATACCACTTTTCTGATCATTCTACCTCCCAGTTTCCTACCATTACAGAACTTTGATTCACTTGTTGGTGACGTAGAAAACTAGATTTATCAGCCTATGTCATTATGCCATCCAGGTATAGCATGTCTCTCTTCAGAATATTACGAGATGAAGGCTAACATTAGATCTTACGATATCTGTTTTGACCTAACTGAAACTACTCCTCTTGATATAAGTGGGTATGACGCTGTTTTGAGAGATCATGAGAATACCACTAATGATTTCAAATGCTTCTATAGAAAAGTAATCAAAAATTTTAGCTTCATCAAAACGTCGTGCTGAAAGTGTTTATTAACGTTTAAGACCATAGTATAAAGCATTCTGAAAGGTTTAAACAGCAGAATGTTTGTTTAAATTTTTATGGATCACTCAACAGGCTTCCAGCCGCATTCAGTTGACGGTTGCACATTATGTTGGAATGAATCTTTTTTAGTTTCTCAAGTAAATATTACTTGAAATCAAGAAACATTCAGCGAAAAAATGCATATCCGTGTAAGAGGAAATGAGGGTTGACGATGCAAGCCGTCTGTTCAGACCTCATAAGACGGAAGAGTGATCGAACCCATCTGATGAACCGGTTGTAAGTCAACTGTCTTAACAAATGAGCCACAGGACCTCAGTAACTACAAAATCTGAAAGCGTCATGTTACCTGGTCTTATCGATTGCAGTTTGGAATAGAAATGAGTCTAGTGATAAGCTTATGGACTTATAACTGTCATTTGTGTTAGATTTCTCAACTCTCTATCTTTTAGTAACTGACTTGCGTACAATCTACAGCATTGAGTATCAGACGGAAACTGAAACCACTATCATTCAGTATTAAAGAAAACGTTTCCAGAAATAAATTGTCACTTAATAACGCACGTTAGTAAATCTAGTTCACCGGAGAACAATATTTGCCAGGTTCTATTTGGTTACACTGAAATGAAGTCTTCGTGTTATGCGTATGATTCTCTAAGGAACTGATATACAGGAAACTGACACCTTCTAACTGGAAAGGAAACAGCTTTATAGTGCTCCTGGCGTTTATTGGCTATCTAAATCATATAGGCGGTTGATGAAGATCAGGGCAGACATATCCAGTAAAATAACCCTGTGAATAAAGCAACAGGTACTGACAAAGGAGAAAACAACATATGCATAACACTCAATATGCAATTAAAGGATGACATCCATCTTCAACTGTGTTCTAATCAGCTTCACTTCACACAGAGAACTGCATACAGATATCTTAATACAATATAGTAACTGCGTTAATATAGGAGTAAAAATCATGCACTCTAGTAGATTATAATTTCATTTGAACTAGTTCTTTGGATGTTACATAGTGGAGAAGTGGAACCCAGTAGGCACAATATTGTCAATGTGTCAGTCTCCTACACCTAAATTGGTGAGATTATTAGCCGAAATGCTGGACCCTATTCGCAACGGTTTATGTTAGTATTCACTGAAAGGCACTTTTGAACTTGTTGATTGTCTTACTGATATGAATATCAGAGATAAGAAAATACATACTTTTGATGCCAACTGTTTATTTACTAATGTGCCCTCAAAGAAGACAGTTAATACTCTTTGCGATTATAGGCCCTCAAATTATTCTTCTTTCCCTATTTCTCCGAAGCATTTGAAAAAGCTACTTTCACAAGGAACTGATGAGATTCATTTCACTTTCGAGAATGAACACTTAAGACAAATTGATAGTGTTGCTATGTGGCAGTCCATTAAAACCGTTATTGACAGATATATGTATGTCACATATTGAACTAATGGCTCAAGATTAAATCGGTAATGTCACAATCTGTAGAATGTGTGTTAATGCTATGATTGCATTATGTGACACAGATGAGGATGGCGGGTTTAATACCGTACAAGATCATATCAGCCTGACATGTGAATGAATGTCATCTTTGGACACCCATCCTCAGCTCCTGATTTACGTCATTCTAGGTGTGATTGTTTCTCTCTCTTTTTTTCTCACCATATGGCAGAGGTCATGAATACTAATTTACAAAATCCACCATCCTTCAAAATCTTCAGTAAACATACACTCACCTGGCCATCCGACTGGACTTGACTTTTTAATAATATTCCAGCGTACAATAATCCATGTAAAAATAACTTCAATAAATAATGTGGATGTAATGATATGAGTCTCATTGTTTGATGTTATCAATTACGACATAACTATATATGTGTATGTACTGTAGGTAGTTTCCTTACAAGAAAGTTGCCTTCCTGCAAGCGATTTTTTCTTAGAACTGGACAGTTTGGTTTCAGTACTCTGTAGACGACATTCTTCAGTGCAGTGTATCAATTAAACCATACATATGCATGAATTATAGAGTAAATGAATGAGACGAGTTACAATATCACGTGATGTTTAGAATACATGAAATATGCTAATTTTTGTATTTATTACTTAAATATTTCGGATATGAACATTTGTATTTATATAATATTTTAATCATAAATTATAATGTAAAAATAATAGAATGGCAATGAAAGTTTGTTGTGTGCATAAATGTATTTATAAATCTGCAAATTTGTATGTATATATGTGCATGTGTGTATGGGTGATATGATTAAGGGTTATATGTGAGTGTGTGCAGTGTGCATTTGGTTTGATTGATTGATTACAGCTAATCACAAACACCCCATTAATTTGAAATGTAAAAATCCCCGCCGATGTATAAACTTTCAATAGCTACCAATGTTTTGTTTTACTGAATTCGCCATTTACATTGAATAACGGTTACTGTTACTGTAATAGTAACAATAGTTGGTTATTAGCAGTAACAATAATCACAGTCTCAACTACGATAAACAAAATTCATTCACTCACACATTATTACTATCAATACTACTACTGCATGAAAAGTAAGCACTATTAGTCAAACAGTAAGTGATCAGTTGTGTATGATCTCTCCATGGCCTTGAACAAAAGGTCACATATGCATGTTTTTGGTGGCAGACTAGCTTATCGATCGGAAGTATGATATTATTATTCTATCTTGTTTAGGTATCAATCTACCATGGTTTTGTTGTCATAATATAAGCTTAAGAATTGGAAAGGTTGTTTCATTGGTTATCAGACCTAACAGTCAGACACTACTAGTTACCTTTATTGTTGATGGTAGGGTGAATAGATCTACTCATCTCAACACTTACGCTTAGTAAAACTGACTAGCAGTACTAGTTGCAGTGCTTTTCTGTCACCGAACTAACATAAGTCATCAGTAAAGCTGATGGTGCTGTTCGTCGATTAGTTGTACTCCGTTTTTCAAATCAAATCGTCTGAACTCTGTTGATAGGCAAGGAGCAGTCGAATACAAGTGACAGTTTTCCATCTATTTTGCATCAATGTGAACATAAAACAGACTGCTGCATTCGAGAAAACTAGACTACAACTGCCTTACATCAATCCTGTTGACCACTTCTTATGCAATAAACTCAGGTGCTTGTGGAATCCAGAAATTTCTCATAACTTTCCTCCACATTTTGTGCACAGCGTATTGGTCGCATTGTGAACATAAGAATCGAATTCGTAGATGTCAAATTTTAATGTCAAAGTTGATTCCATCGTCAAATCTGTTCGACGGTGTTTTTAAAAGGCATTACTGTTCATACTGCTTACTGGTTTCGATGTTCCATTTGCAATATATAGATCATTCTATAGACTATGAACTGGGCAAGAATTTATGGTCACAAGCCTAAATAAATTATATATATATATATATATATATATATATATATATATATAAATATCAGAAGTTCACTTTCGGAACCTGATAAGTTGTAAGTGAACTGTTTATAAAGGTGCCATTTTAAACCTTGTCATAGGAAGTCTCTTCGGTTGGTATTTTTCAAACGAAAGCTAAAGTCATGAACTTCTTTTTAATACATCAATAATGAGTTATGATACGATCAGTTTCAACTAGTACAACTGTTCGAAATTGTTTTATTTTATGTTCGCCAGTCTTCAAAAAAATCAATGTCTTATGTTTTTAATCTTGAATGGGTGAGAAACAGTATGACATTCTGTTAGTGACAAAGGAACTGAAGGTTTCGACACAAACCCAACTTTAGCACGTTTAGAAAATCGAGACAAGATATTTCTTAACTTTCGGCTGTGTAAGCCATAGCTCCTTCAGCAACATATCAAAATATATTCTTACAATGATTCATTCAGACTCGGCGCTCAACGTCTTCCAGGACATTCGTAACAACTATGGTCTGGATGTTTATAAACTACTCGGTTGTTTAAAATATCAGTGTGGATCGTTCAGTGCGTAACTAATTTCTCATTCGATAATTCTTTTTAAATTATTCTATTCTACACAAGTCAGCTGGCTGAATTCTCTCATTCTATGAGCTAGGTTTGTCTCGGTGCACCGATAAAATGAGCCCAGCCCAAAAGACCGAAGCGACAATTCAGCGAATAAATAAAATTCCTCAATTTACAATACAGTCAGAAGCTTTTGTCAAGGAAACCTCTCCGAGCATTTGGAAACATTTTTGAAGACCTCACTGACAGCAAACAACTCAGAAAGCTAATATGTTATGACGTCTGCATTTAATCGTTTTAATTCCAAGTCAGCAACACCACCTTACTTTGTTGTTTGAGTCTCAGTGGAAAACATTTTCGTCAGTTTCACGAAATAAGCTGTTCACAAGTATTTCAAACTCTTGAACTCATCATATAGCTGGGGCCTGGACGATCTTTCAAGTTTCATATTCATAGAATGTGCTTATATTTTATGCCATTCACTAACTGATATGTTTAATCCCAGTAACTCAGTCCGTGTTTTCAGCAGCATGTTTGAAATTCCGTCCGATCTTAGTTACCACTCCTTCCCAAAAGCAGTAGAGAAGCTGATGTTATACGCGCTTCAGCCTTTATTGAATGTTTTCAGAGATCCCAATCGATTGTTATACAAAAACAAAAATGCTCTTGATGTCACCATTGTCTTAAATCAGAACATTGCTTATAATTTCGATAGAAATGCCAATCATGGCAGATGTTCCTTTGTGGACTGTACTTTAGCATCTGACTGGGTGATAATCCTCCATGAATAGTCTTGCGTTACATTCTACAAAATCTCAGACTATCAGTTTTTAGTGTTAGTGCGCTTTCCTTCCGATCCTTCCTGGTTACCTTTATGTGCCTAATTTTCAAGAGAACTAAGCACCAAGCTCACTTTATCGCGAAGCTTACAGTTTCCGGTAAAATTCAGCCTCTTGTCTCTCCTGCATCTCATTTAGTATCCTCTACTTTTCCCCTTTATTTACTTCCGGAGTGTTGCAGAAAGACTGCACTGCATTGCGTACAAATTTGAAGACTGACAACACAAATAGTGATGTACTGCTATCCTTTCTAACTGACACTGCTGTGAATCAAACTTTCAACTCTTGTAAACAGATGACAAGAGTTGTTTTATTGGACACCTGGCATCTGCTTCTCTCAAAGCTTGGAACGTGTCAGTCTTTAGGTAAAACCGTGAGCAATTATATGGGATTTCATGCACGTGATCCTAACTTAAAATGTTTACCATACCTAGCTAGTATCCTGTGCGAGGAAGAAAGTGATAGAAGTGGACCAACTCACCGACTTTTCTAATAACAAGCAAACTGAAGATTATATGACTTGTTTTAATTTACGTATTATGACTCTAATTGTTGTTTTCGTCTAACTGAAGCTACACGGCAGGCTGAGAACTCGGTGCATTGTTCCCGAAATCACTTCCAAAATAAGGATGCTATTGTTATTACAGGTGTTGGTACATCACTGGGGTGAACTCGAATGATTTCTAAACATGTTGTACAGTTTTCCATCTTTGTACTGAATAGCAATTTCGTGTAACAAATCACACTTCGTGCCTCTCCGTTGGATGGTTTTCAAGATCCCTATTTCATCATAATTAGATAACTTTGGGAAACAAAGTCTGGAATATCTGCTTCTGAAGGTTGACAAGTAATCATTAGGTCAATGTGCCGAGATTCTGAACTCCATTTAACTCCCGAAGCAACGGATACCTTAAAATATCAACAAGTAATAACAATGCCATCGTGAAGTTGTGAGTGCTGAACAATGCTGAATTTTCGACTGTGATTTGGAAGTTCAAGTTTATGGTGTATATTGGGAGACTTGGAGGTAACGTATTTTATCTTATATGTGTAGCTGACTGCAGATTTTTAAGGTATTACAAAGTAACTACCAAGTGGTCCCTAGTTTTCACTATTTTTCTGGCTCATATAATTTCTTAAAAAAGTTCACCAAGAAGACTGGCTCCAAACAATACCAGGATTCGATTCGAAAAACAAAACTTAAGTCAGCAAATCTTCAACTCAAAGTTAAGAGTAAAATTCAGAGACATTAAGTATAGAATGGAATCCAATGGTATAGAGACACTTCGCCCCACAGATGTATAAGCGTTCTGCCTGTTATTCGCTTTGGTGATTTTCAGCTCACACCACTTGACTTGTACTTTTCAAAAATGAAAATGTTTTTTAAATAACCGGGTCAACTTTCAAACTGTAAAGTTATGTGTAACGGTATCTTCGACACATTAAATATGTATAGAATTTTGAACAGATAAGTAGTATTGAACAAACTAATACATTTTAGTCATATATATATATATATATATATATATATATATATATTATATGCATCGGGGCTTCAACAATGACAAAGTTTACTTGAACATATGAAGTAGTAGTGCATCCGGAATAAGAACATATTTACCCTTCAAATGATGGAAGACTCAATTCACCGGGATTTCTGTACGTGTCGACTCAGATAACAGCTGGTCTTAAGGGTATACCGTCAACTTAAGGAAAGGGTAGTAAATATCTTAAGTTCTCTTGTGTAAAGAAACTGGAAAACACAGTCTAGGCCAATGCTGACTGTCACGCTTTACAATTATATTTAGAAATTATTCCATGTAAGCAGAGGATATATTAGTGGTCTACGGAAGTTGAATTGGAGCACATAAACTGGAAAATAACAATGAAGGTGGTAATAACAATAAGAAAATATTTTAACAGTTTCTATGCGTTCAGTAGTCAATCATCAATTTGGATCTATTTAGAGGTTATCTACAGGGGGAAGAGGAACTGGAAGAGAGAGAAGTATTGTAGTATAGCAGTTAGATAATGATATACTTAAATTCCCCCTAGCTTAAGAAACCTAGATTGAAGTATAGAATTTAAATGAGGACGAAGTTTAATGCTCGTGATAAGGATAACATTGAAACAGATGATATGTGCATTTATTCGATTCGATCGACAGAGAAATTATGGTAATTATGTCCGTGTTGCAGCTTCAGGCCAGTGAATGAAAAGGAACTGAATAAATAAGTTTTTTATATTTATATTTTTCCCTTCCTAAACAAGGCCGAATTGCTCGAACTCTGTTGACAGATGGGCTGTTATGTGGATGGCTCGATACTGCCGAATCTTCATGATGTTGTATTCATGTAGGTGACTAGCAGTGAAATCTAGGTGATGAGCCATAAATAGAGCGAAACCTACCTCCTGGAT